TCGAAGTTTAAAGTGGCGAACATCTGTTTCATTTACATGCTGAAAACCATAAATTTCCTACGAACTAGCAGTTTCTGAAAGTTTCTGTTGAAACGCCGGACAACGCTCCCTCACTTTCTGTTTCATTTACATGCTGAAAACCATAAATTTCCTACGAACTAGCAGTTTCTGAAAGTTTCTGTTGAAACGCCGGACAACGCTTCCCTCACTTAACTTAACACTGACGTAAAACATTGTAATCAGATTTAATGATGCGAGTGCCGGAAAACACGCTGGAACACTAATTAAGGCCCCACCTTCGGTTTATATTTGTTAGCATCTCTTCCCTTTTTGACGGACTGCGGGAATTCCACAAGAGCGCAAGTAACACAAACAGATGTACTGCAAAGCCATCAAACCTGGTAGAATCCCACAACGCTCGCACCTCTTGGTGAAAGCGCTGCTAGTTGTACACAGACCGGCCTTGGCCTATTTGTTTCAAACTGCGATTCCATTACCCATGAAAAATAAAATATACTATCATTATTCCAAGCCCTGATATGTAGATGAATTACTCTATTTGGTAGCATCCATTTGAAGCCATTTTACGAATAGTGGGGGTTTTCCTTGCGCCGAAGATGGAAGTTAAACTGTCACCAAGAATATCCTTCGGTTCTTCCAAACGATAAAGACTAGAGTTCCAAGGCTATAAAAAATTACTGGGATTCTCAAGCCGGATAGGGTAAATTAAACGCTAACACAGGATAGGATGTGCATCTGTATCAATAAACACGATTTCCTCAATCAGTATCCAACCGTGCGCAATGGGACATCCTTCTTTATAGGAAGCCTCAGAGGACCAGCAATTAAGCACCTCAAGCAAAGTTGGACGAGAATGTTTAGGATCCTCGTTTTTAATCGAGTCTAACATAAACGGCACCCTAGTACACACAAGAAACAGTGAACGAAATGATATGTTGAAGAAGCAACATCTGGGCCGAGGATGTGATAAAATGTATTAGATAGAAGGCTGCATGTTTCACGCGCACCTCATTATTACAAGGAAAAATCTGAGCTACCCTGCGAAAGGCTTTGCAAAGGCTGGATGCCTTCAGTCCCTGACGACAGCTGTGCACCTCTGTCCACTGAAATCAATGCATCAGTATTGGGAAACTTCACCGCCATGTGAAAATAAAGATCTTTCTTGGGTAAAAATCCCGAAATGACACAGAATTATTTCCAACTATGGACATACCCCAGTAATTGTCATACCATATCATCATCATCATCATCGGTAGCATGACATCAGTGTTCAACACTGATGCTTCACTACCGTACTTGTGTATGTGCAGTTCATGGTTGTACGTGGGCTGGGATACTGCCATGGCGCCCACACCCAGACAGGAGGACGATTAGGGTCCTCGACCAAAGCCTTTGGCTCAAAAGCCTAACCGCAGGGCAGCGGTGTTTGGCGGGAAGTGCCAATGCATTATCATTTCTACGGAACAAGTCGCCACATGTTCCAACCCCCCACCTGGAGGGCCAGGAGACTGTGTTCTTCAGACCTCTAACCATTGACCAACCTGGTATGAGAGACTCTGTGAGTGTCGCGAGACACTCTCCAGTATAGTTCAATGGATAACTGAGGTGCGCAAACCATCACACCACTGTAAGATCTAGTCTTTTTGTGACTGTGTCATATCATAATTCTCATCCGATTTATCAGTAGTGAGATTAAACTTATTACAGATCCGCGCGAAGGAGACCTGATAAGTTATTCCATTGTGCTACATAGAAACTCATGTTCTACCGTACTAAACCAAGTGTAGGTTCGGGAAACGTTGAGCCAAGCGAAGTTCTCTGTCCATCGTCAATCTCACTAATTAACAGTAAACCACAGCGGGAAAAACGGCTTCGAATGACTGACGTATCATCAGCATCGACAGCATGACATCAGCGTTCAACACCAATGCTGCCCTGCCGTGTAACCATGATTTACTTAAAAGCCTTATTGTGAAGAAAAGAATAAAGGTAGACGGGAAAGGGACTTAGTGATGGCTTACTACAATCGTGCCGAGGTGCCCACACCTCCTGACACGCATTCAGACAATCTGAATAGAAACTGTCAACATGATTGCCGCTGACGTCGGTTGGTAGCCATATTTTGCAGCTTCTCCAACCAGACGCGGTAGGGATCACGCGTTCTCCATCCTAGAAGGCGAGTAGCACCGATAGCCTCTAAACCTCCCGTAATATCTTTCATATCCTTCTGCCAAGAAACTGAGAGCCAAAAGGACTAAGGATGACACCTAGTATAGCATCATCCGTTGTATTTTTTTGTCAGGACAACACCCCGCCCAGTTTGATCCCCCAAAACTTCCAGGAGATGGAGGTATTCCAGCAATTAGGCGCTAGTCCTCTCGCTCCTACGCTGTGAAGTTCTTTCATTGATAAAGTACGATTAACTTGGTAAAGCTCCTTTCTTAAGTTGAGGAAGAAATCGTGAGCTTTTGGCGAACGTGTCCTTTTTGAACCTGGTTGCATCAGCTCCACATTGTGTCCTGTGTGTAGTGCTGTGTGTAACAACACCTCTGTTCAGCGGGTTTTAATGACACTTTCTATCATCCGCAATGTTACAGTTATCCTAAATGTCTGCTTGTGTGCAACTAGACAAACACACTCTGTAACAAGCACCACCTTCGAAGTTTCTAACATATCCCCCATGGTTTAGGCCACTTTCGGAGAGGATACCCAACTCCTTTATCTCGAAGACTTGCTCCTTTGTTGACTGGTATATAAAGAACCTTCTCTGATGCTCCGAGTCATGACCACATTTATTGCGAAGACATGTACTCCAAACAAATCTCCATGAATTCGGTCATCCGCGACTTGTTGTTTAAATATCATAAGGGGACTGCTCTCACACTTTCGTGCTGGGTTTAGGCACCGTTGTATTAGGCAGGGCCAACTCCTCTCCGTACGCTGTTCGCAAACCACTAAAGATTAGCGCTAACGATCTGTCATAACTGCTTCGTTCCATCAAACTTTTGTCATGTCAAAGTTCAACTTTACCGGCTCTTAACAACTTCCGTGCTATTCATGATGATCCCTGCGTCAAAGTAACCCTATAGTATCGGAAAAATCTTTTATGTACGTCATCTCATTAACTCGATCATTCCAGTAAATGCGTTCTACCATCGTCGATTGTAACCTCCTCCAATACACTTCGTCACATCTAACTTCATGTTCGAGAAGTTGACCTTCGAGGAACTATGGGGGTTTTGCACGCAGAAACTGGAACTATGCATCGTGTTCAGCGTGCGGCGCCGGTGCGCATAAACCTAAATGCCTTCTTGTTGGCTTCTCAGTACCTCGGCATTTTTGTATTCTTCACTTATTCTAAATTTGGATATTCTGATAAATGCCTGAGTTCTGTCATTTATACGTGCCTCGGGATACAAGCAAAAAGTTGGAATCTGTCGCGTTGACTTTGACAGCGTGCATGCATTTGTCTAGTGTATGTACTCATTCTAGATTCGTGTTACTCGGGCTTTGATGAACCATCACGACCATGAAAATGAATACGGATAGCAATACCGCTAAAAAATAAAGGTATCCCAAAGCTTATCATATTGACGGTACACTATATCTATTATTAGACTAAAGGCCTCGCTCTTATAGCATATACTTCAGAACAATCTAGCAGCATCTGTGCATAATATAAACCCCAATCCTCAATTTTACAATTGTCATGTATCCTGCCGAAAGGATATCCATTATGACACCCATACATAACTGTCCGTCACTGAATCCACCTTGGAATGAATACATTACGCCCTATGAAACCAGCCAATTGTTATTTTTGACGCTTCCCTCTCACTTTTTGAGCATACTAGTCAGTGTTCACTCAACGCTCCGCAGGTTTGGAGCATCCGAAAGGATTTGACTACATCCTTCGTCTGTCAGTTACCTTGCTCACAATTTTTCGTTGGATATATGGAAGCAAACATTTCATAATGGTTGGCCGTTCTAAAAATCCAGCCTGTGTATTTTTGTGGCGTTCAAATTCTGTTGTAGGAGCTACA